GACACTTCCTGTTTTGATCAGAAGTACAATTACCGCTGACCAGATCTCGGGCTTAGGTTCTCACGAGTATGAATGGAGCTATAGAGCAACAATCAGTGAAATTATCATTTCAGTTTGCGAATTTTATCAATTTGTATAATAATTTATGAGAGGATTGCCACTGTGGATAAATGCACTTGTAAAAGTGTGATGCGCAAAGTGTGAACCAAGGTAAAAGTTTTTGTTTTTTTTTACTCATTGATCGAGTTCAAGTATTTGGCTTGTAATAGGGCCGTGATCATCCATTCGCGATTCAACTGAAAGACCACAGAAAGAACTACAGTAGCATTTTTCATTTAGTCAACAGTATTAATTTAGTATTTAAATACTTGACCACTCTTCTCTTCATGTAGATATTACGGGTGTAATCTGGGCGTTATTAATACCATCGGTGTAAGGGATACTGCAATGAATGTAAGCTTTACTTTGACTAAGTGGTACAAATATTACTCATAGACCCAACTATTTCGTTACACAAGAAATAACGCTCATAAACGGATGGTGTGACATATTATTTTCGATGTTTTGTTTTCTGTCTCAGAAATGATGCTGTCGATTCACGTGGCGCAGACCAGCTTTTAAAGCCAGGAAATGTGAGATACCAAAAATTTTTTTCATAATTTTCTCTGTCTAAGGATAGGACTAAATCGTTGTGAAAACAGTTTTAAAAAAGAAAGTTGGATTTTTCAGATGTTTGGTTCTAAACTTAAGCTATTTTCTCTTATTGCATAATCTTTGGTGACGTGGGTGGGCGCTGACATCCCTTGATTAGCACCTTTCACTCCAAATGAGTTGAAACTGCCGGTATCAATCGACATAGGATTGACCTTTATTTGTATCGAAGGGGATTAAAATTCATTGTATCTTGTAACCAGGAGCAGCGTCTAAGTTTGAAGCTTATTTTCATGAAATTTTGATGATTAAGGGCAAAAATCCAAGGGGGGTGGTCTAACTTCCAAGGATATACCGTAAATGCTCGAATTAGCGCCCAGCTTCAAATAAGCGCCCCACTTCGAATTAGCGCCCCTCCTAAGGCTCAAAATTTGTAATAAGCGCCCCCCTTCAAATTAGGGCCCTCCCCTCCTCCGAGAAAAAATGAGTTTCGGTACTCGGGACGATATACGAGACGTATACGGTCTATACGGTTCTTTTAATGAAATTTGACATTGTTAAATAGTATGAACAGTAATGTCCTTTCAAAGTCGCACGGGTTTGCTTTTCATTTCCTTGATAGAAATATCCATGTGAGCACATAGGTGCTTCACTTTATTAAGTTCCTCGTAAAACTTTGCTCCCAATCGCCGGCTCCTTGTTACTGCCTTAAAAGTTCCTGGAATTACGAGGCCATTTTTGGTAAAGATAGTGTCATTTTGAGGCTAAAAATTGGTAAACGAAATAAGCGCCCCCCTTCGAATTAGCCCCCCCCTCTCGCCTTAGAAAATTAAATAAGCGCCCGGGGCGCTAATTCGAGCATTTACGGTAGTTGGAAATCAGACTTACTTTGTCTTCGAGAGTTTTTGGGTGGGTCCTTCAATCTGACCAAGTTTCATCCAAATCAGAGAGATAGCTTGTGTTACGCCTGCCTGGTCCTCTCATCGACACAGTCTTAAGGACGATGGCAATCTAGCTATCCTTACTGTGCATTCATTTCTTGGTGTAGGAACTGTCCAAGGATCAATTAATTCCGTTTTTGAAAAGGCTTGCAGCAACCAAAGGATCAGAAAAGAATTATTGGAAGCAAAATGCGTTGTATGGGACGAATGCTCTATGGGTAGTGCGAGGCTGTTGGAATTGTTTCATGCGATAACATCGCAAGTCCATGATAGGAAATTACCTTTAGGAGGGATTCAAACCATTCTGGTTGGCCACTGGTGGCAACTTAAGCCCGTCGCAGATAAATTTTATGGTGGTGAGCCGATGTATGTCTGTTTTATTCCCTAGTCTGTTCCCACGCACCATACAACTTACCATAGTTCATCGACAGAACGAACGTGAGGTCGTTTACTGCAATATCCTGCACAGCTTCGTGTGGGAAGGTGTGATAATGACTCAGAGCAAGCAATTTACTGGCACGCCCGACTGGTTTTTTACTAACAGATCGAAGCTAATTACTCTATCACAGCTTCCGATGGTCGGATCATCGGATCATTATACTATCTTAGCTAAACCAGTATCAGCTCCTATCACTACCCACACAACAGAGAAATCGGTTGTACGTGATATGCGAGATAGTGCGTGGCGTGCTTTCGGACGATGGATAACTCAAAAGGACTGGACCCCAATTCTCAATGCCTCTCCGTGTGAGCAAAAGTTCCAGCTGCTCATGTCAGAGCTTGATGGCGCCATTAGTATTTTTCTTCCGCAGAAGATCTCGAAGAAACACCCTACTGACCGCCCTTGGATAACTAGTAAGATCAAAATGTGGATTGGTAAACGCCAATCTGCATTTTCTAGACACGGAAAGGACTCGGGTGCCTATCGTCATTGGAGAAACAAAATTCAAGGTGCAATAAAAACATCAAAACACCACTACTATCAGGAAAAGGTAGATGAGGTCGAACATGTGAATCCCGCGAAATGGTGGAGGGATATAAAAAATTTAGCTGGCCAGGTTGCTAAGCAAGAGTGGTACCATCAGTTCCTTGATAAAGACACAGATATCAAGCGTTTAGCAAATAAGATCAATAGCTATTTTGTTGGGCTGACTGACCATTTCCCACCCCTGTGTCAGGGAGTGCCCCCGCTATCTGTTCCTGATGAATTATTAATTTCAGAGTATGAGGCATACAAGTCCTTGTCCTCACTTCAGACATCTAAAGCAATCTGCCCTGACAACATACCTAACCGGATTCTGAAAGATTTTGCTTTGGAGTTAGCCCCCCTCGTTTGTGACATTTACAACCAGTCTCTAAGGGAGGGGTACATACCAGCTCTCCTGAAATCGTCTATTGTTACACCTATCCCTAAGGTGTCTCCACCCGCTCTTATTGAACAAGATCTAAGACCTATATCTCTTACTTGTACTTTGGCAAAAGTTATGGAGGGCTTTACCTGTTCCAGACTCCTGCCCCAGTTGGAAGGTAAGATCGACCCTTGTCAGTTCTCCCGCAAGAGACATTCTACGACAGATGCCCTTATATATATGCTTCAGGCGATCTACGAGGCAGTTGATAGTAGTGAGGCGTCGGCGCGGATTTTCTTCGCAGATTTTTCTAAGGGGTTTGATTTAATTGATCATTCAATATTGATGCAATAACTGGCAGATCTTGAAGTTCATCCAGTCCTTTTATCTTGGATTGCGGCATTCTTGACATTCCGGAAGCAAGCAGTTAGAATCGGAAGAACTCTGTCTGATTGGTTAACCCTAAAAGGAGGAGTGCCCCAAGGAACTAAACTGGGTGTGATCCTCTTTACGGTAATGACAAACAAACTGCTGTCTGACTGGCGGCTGCGCATCAAATACGTCGATGATACCAGTGCTCTCGAAATAATTCCAAGGAACTCCCCTAGCTTACTTAATGTAGTGGCCTCAGACATTCACAATTTTGCCATTGCTTATAATATGAGACTTAATCCAACCAAGTGTAAAGAAATGCATATTAATTTCCTACGCAACTCTAATTGTCTCATTAACCCGATAATAATTGGCGGCAATGTCATCAAGCGTGTCAATACCTATAAGATCTTAGGAGTTATTATGGACAATGACCTGAAGTGGAACTGTCATGTTGATTACATTATTAAGAAAGCTTGTAAGACGTTATACTCCCTCAGAGTTCTCCGTAGAGCCAGGGTGAGCTAACCCAACATCTTGAGGATATACCTTAGCACAGTCCGGCCAGTTTTAGAGTATGCTGTACCAGTCTGGCAGAACATCCCTGCTTATCTGTCCGAAGCCATAGAGCGAGTGCAAAAAAGGGCGCCTAACATAATCTACCCCGAGGCAGAGTCATATGCTCATGCCTTACAGTTAGGTAAACTAGATAGGTTAGATGATAGAAGAGTATTCTTGTGCTACAAATATATGGCGAAAATGAAGTCCCCCAACCACCCTCTGCACCACCTATTTCCTAGCCCTCTCCTGGACGCGCCTAACTACACCTTAAGGCAGAAAACACAAAAGTATTATCTTTTCTGGAATATGCAGGTCTGTAGGACAAAGAGAGTGGAGGACTTCTTTACATTTAAATTTTTTAAGTGATTCAATTGTTATTTTCATTGTTATAACTGTAAATTACTATACTCTAGATAATAGTTGCCTTATGATTGTAAAATGTACTCGATAATTCAGTTCTTTTTACTGCAAGAGAGTTTTAATAAACTATTCTAAAAAAAAATTCGGGCCTTTCGAGGAATTAAACAACACCGATGGCGCTATTCATTTGTATTTTACTAACTTGCATGTCGACGCGACCAATGTTTACCGCTTGGATTTGCTCCCAGGAGAATGCGAATCGTTTAAGGCTATCGACACCGGCGACCTGCGAGGACTCAATTGTCCAGCTCCGCAGATGTCTTATTTCAAACGTGGTGCCCCTGTCATAGTTTTATATAACATTAACGAGATCATTCACAACTGAACCCATGGAACTTTCGTGAGAAAGCTGGATGAGAATGCAGCAGTTATCAACGTGGGTGGGGGTGAATATGTCATCCAGAAAATATCCTGGACCAACGTCAATGAAGATGGACACAGCATTGGATCAAGGTTGTAAATGCTCTTAAAGTTGCACTGGGCATCAACCATCCATAAATTGCAAGGGCTAGCTCTTGGAAAAGTTGTAGTTCATTCAGCCTATGAATTCACCGGTGGACAGTGTTATACAGCTTGAGTTAGGTCAATCGATGACGTGCAAGTGTTAGGTTTTAATAAGAAGCATGTTTGCAAAGGAAACCAGGAATTGAATGAACTCAACAATCTTCCAAACAGTAACATTGTAAACTGCCCATGCCTCAAGGAAATGGATCATCATCCTTTGGGAGAACAAGTCATCAACCCTCAAGACATTGGTGATGAGGAATTACTTCAAATTGTAATGGGGATGTTTGATGATCAAGAGAGTAACACTGGGGAAGAGAGACCTGCAAGTATTGAAGAGGTTTTGGAAATGGTGGTGGAAAACGAACACATCCTGAGCAAACCTCCTGAAGATTTTGACACGAAAATGTTCCTTGAGTCATTCAAAGGGCAATCTGTGGCTGGGGAAGAATCAAACTTTGGAGGTGAGAAGAATGCTGCCGTGGATTTGGCTGTGAGGAAAGTTGATCACTTTTCTGCCCAAGTCCAGATTGTTGCAAAAACACCTCACAGAAAACAGTCAAGATGTATTTTCCCAAAAGGATCTAAAGGAGTTTTACCAACAATCTCTTGACATTTCATAGCCTGCGTAGCATGGCGGTTTTGTTGAGCCGGGCGGAGGAGCGGCGTAGCCGCGAAATTCGCGCGCGAAGCGCGCGAGAACGAGCGACGAAGCCGCGAGAAAAATAAAAACCGCCTGCCCGGATTCGTGGCCTTTTCAACTGCCGCCCCCTTCAACTCATTTTGACATCCTGTTGACAACTTGTTTGGTTTCAGTTTTCCCAGCCAATCAGAAATAAAGTGTTGACAGCCTAAACACGACACAAAAGCTCGTGATATAGTGTAAAACGTGACCTTGGCCGGAATTGGAGTTTGCTTGAACAAACACGGGTTTTTTCTTTGTGGCTATCTCGCGCATAGGTGACTACACTGCGTTCTAAACTTGACTGAGTAGATCTTATTTTTGCTGCACTAAGTCTTACATTTATTTAGAGGTCATGGAGTTGGTTTGTTTAATCCGTATTGAGTAATTATTTCCTGTGGTTAATGTTATTTTCGCTAATTAGAATTTGTTGATCTCAGATGCAGTTGTAAAGTACTAATTTCTTTGACCACTCTTAAAGCCTAAAGCTTTTTATTACGGCTAAATAAATATTTTAGTTTCTTTGGTCTTTTCCGACTAAAATGCCTGGATCTGGACAACTACAAACCAAGGAGCCTTGGTTTGTAGTTTCTTTGTCACTGCTTTGTCCGTGAATGTTTTGACGCTGGGCCCGGCTTTTTAAGTGTTGTTTGCAGGATGTTGTATTTTTACGTATAGCGCGATCTTCAGATTTGAGTTGTAGCTTAAGCTACACCAAGCAAAAAAGTATGGAGAATTACGCTGTGCGTCTTCTACCATATGCGATTCATCGACCACAATCGCGGACGCCGTTCGATGTATTGCGCTGGAGTGCGTTATTCTCTAACACCGAGTAATAGAGAAAATTGAGGTGAACTTTCTCGAAGCACTGAAATTTACTGTTTCTGTCATAAGGTCCATTGCTTTACATCTCAGCGACACCATTTCAGATATCTGGTCCTCGATAGTACTTTTTTAGAGGGAAATTGTGATCATACAGGTTTTCGATGAGGATATTTCTTCTTTGGCCATAGCAAAGACAGTAAAGATCATGCTCTTGCCAAATCTTGTTGACAAAATTTCCATGACATCTCTCCTTTGAAGAAGACTGTAAATGGCCATTTCCTGTTTAGGCTTCAATACAATTGCCCTATTTTCCCGTCAAATATTCAAGATCGACGACACTCCGGTCAACGCTTCTTTGATATTTTGATTTTGTTTTGCGGAGATGATTTGTTCAGTCCCTCGAAACTCTCCCATGGGAGATTACCAAAATATTTGATTGACAGGCGAACATTCCGAACCAATCGGAACGATCCGTACGCTGGCGTGCGGACCGACTCAAAAAAGCCCCCCGTCCGTGCAGGCGGTTTTTCAAGTTGCTTCCGCCCCAATCTCCTCGCGGTTTCTCTGCCCTCGCCCGACTTTATTACTTAGCGCGCCCAACCAAAACCGCCATGCTACGCAGGCTAGACATTTCAAGAACAGTAGAGTATAGAGGACGGCTCAACGAATGTTTTCAGACACCTGAAAACACTTTACTAAAACCGGCAGAGATTAGCATTGACTTCGACATTGTCATAGGTGTATTCCACAATACACTACATATTGTTAGAGAGTCTGTCAGGGTAAAATCACGTGATGACATGGTGTCCACATTTTATGTTAAGCAAATGGATGATGTTGGAAAAGGAAAAGTTCGTTTTGTGGCTGCGTGGGCAGTGAGCAGGGTACTACAGAAGGCAAAAAAATACTTAAGGGACAACTTGTACACTAGCAGTGCCGTATGGTCCCTAGTTAACAATTGCCTTCACAAGATTGAACTTATTGAAAGCATTGTCGTGATTCCCTGTGGAATTTTATGTTCTGAAACAAAGCACCCTGGAACACTCGAAGTGACAGAGTCACGACAATACAAAACTCATGGCCTGATCCATGTCTCAGATCAGTTCTTTGAATTTGCGCTTGAATTGGAGCAGAAAAGAATGAATGGCTTAAATAGTAGAATGCTCAAAAAGCATAGTGACAAACTGGTTGAAGTTGTTGAAGCTGGCTTGTTGAATGACCAGGGCCTTAGGTTACAATGGAGGGACCTATTTGACAGTTTTGATATCATGGTAATATAAGATACAATATCTTAAGTAAGGTGAAAATCATTTGTAGAATTATAAAACTGTAATATAATGGTGAAGAACAATATAATTATTTTTCACTTCCCACTTTCTCTTTTATTTCTATATTGTTCAATTGTTCGATTCAACTGTCAGTTAAGTCATTGTTTCAGTAAATTAACTATGATATATGGGATAATGGTGAATGATTTACTAAACCGCCCCCCCCCCCACACCACCACCATACACTTTTGCCTTGTCCGATCTGTTTCAAAAATTATGCTATTAGGTCAGCTCACTTCATTATCTTTTCCTTTAGCGTTTTAATTAGTACCAAATTGAATATCCTTAAAAATACCCCCAGAACATATAAATCAAAATACAGGTACGATGATATTATGCTATCTAAATTTATACGATAAATTTGGTCAACAAAGCTACAAACCTAGAGGATTCTGGGAGATGACGTAAAATGACATTGTGCAATATATATTATTTTCCTTACTGAAGATATTCAATCAAACAAATGGGTTAATATAATATATGCCCCTTTTATAATATCCTACATAGTGACTCACTTTGGGTGCCATCTGTATCCCTCTGAGGAATTTTTTGTAAGAGCCACTTGTGCTCCAGCAGAAGAGCCATGTTTCCTTTTATTTTGGAGGTGTCCACAGAACTCAGCATGGATTTAAAATCAAGGTGCTCTTCATCTGTGGCACTCAAGCACTCAGATTCAAATTTCGTTCACCAGTACTTCTCTTGCCGTTTAGTATTTCTCTTTTTCAAAATAAAATTCACTTTCCCCAGCTTTTCTTCGTCACCCATAAGAGAGTTTTTGGTATTCATGATATTGGAGTATGTCTCTTTTCTTTGGGACAAAAGTCTTTTCAGATATCCACACTCCACACAGGTCTCCCCCAGGGACGGCACCACTTGATGGTATTTGGGTGGCAAATATGCTGTTCACGAACCAATTTTGACCTGGGTGCACATTTCATCGCTATCTTTTCTAACAACAGGATTATTGTGATCGTTTGCGGGGAGTCCACAGCATACCGAAAAACATGCAAGGTACTCCAGGGTAAAGGGGAGGTTTTTGTTTTCGTTCGCCTTAAAGCCAAAAGTTTCATGGGTCAGGGTGTTACCCAGAAATGATTTGAGAGAAACCTCTGTTGTTAGAGGATTGATCTTGAGTTGTATCACCACTTCATTGCCGTCGATGTAAACACTGGCCAATCTGCTGAAACTTAGCGAGGGAGGATTGACGTTTTTTTCTCGCAAAACCCATCCATTCATCACACATGAAACCTTCATACTTTTCCAGGTATCATTTTTAGTTTCATCGGGCCTTTAACGCCTTTAACACGCCTTTAACTGTTGCTTTTAAAATTTACCATTTGTTGGGGAAATGTTATCTTCCAGTATTCAATAGTGACCGTGTGGCTTTCCAAGGAATCAACTGGTTTGAATTGCAGTGGTTCTTGAGATAGGCTGACTGTTATGTTGTATTTTTTTTTATCACAATGTCATTGAATTTTTCATTGTACTCAAACTACTTCTTAATCTCCACATGGGACTTCTCATTTATTGCACTTCTGAGAGGTGCTATTTTTTTCTGGAGGAAAACAAATGGCTTTTATCATCTTGGCTTCTGTCTGTAGTTGACAGGTCACATATTTTGATCTACCAGAGTTTTGAGTTGGTATAACTCCATGTAATAATAATGTCTTTACGCGCATCGGCTGAAAATACATATCAACTGTTACACTGAAATGTTAAGAAGCAATATCCAAGTAAGGAAAAAAACATAACTGTAAAATCTAATGTTTGCACAACTGGGTTATACTTAAAATTGATCTGTTAAAAAAGCTAAAAAGCTATTCTTAAATAGCTTTTTAAAAAAAGTTTATACAAGTAAATCAAGTTTAAAACAACTTCTAAAATCTAATATCTACACAGCTAGGTTCAGTATTTAAATCACACGTTCTCAGAGACCACACAACAAGAGGTTTGGGAAGGTTTGACAACAAATACACTGAGTAGCGAATGATGTCATAACTGAATCAATGGACTCCCTTGGGAGGAAGGGCTGGGTAACGTGCTTGCCCTTCGAATTGAGCTTATGACTTACTGATTCATGCAGTGAGCCTTGAGATAAGCTCTGCACGTCACATATTATGATTGACACGCAATTGATATAAATCACTTAATGTACTTATTGCACGATCATGCATTCTCAAAGACCACACAACAAGAGTTTATTGAGTCAGATTCGACAACAAGTACACTGAGTAGCGAATATGTATGACATTGTCACTGAACCAATAGTACCTTTCAAAGGCATGGCTGTGGGAAGAACAGGAGGAAGGAAAAACTACGATCTTGTCATAAGGCATTTTGTAGTGAAATAAGAATTCACAACAAAATCTCAAACAAGAGATAACCCAAGAATATTATCCGTCATAGTGGTTATAGGGAGCTGCTTCTGCTTCGGTACATCTTGAGATACTAAATAAGCATCGCTTTGCTAATCCCCTTGCCTTTGAATGAGTTGTGCAGGAATGTTGCACTTAAACGCAAAAGGCAAAACTAACATCACTGCGTAGAAAACTGTGGGGAGAATAATGTGCCAGAACTAAACCTATCGCAATGATGGTTTTAGAAAGAAAAGAACGAAAATGGCGATACTTGATAGGAAATAGACACTGAGACGTGGGAGAAATAAGTAAGAAGAGGCATGCCTGAGATGGCCCGGAATTGAGACGCAAATGGAGCTGTAAGGCTATGACTGGGCATGGGGGGAACCAGGAATGCGAGGCAAAGAGATTGTCAAAAAATGTTGTTGAAATTGAATAGTCTTCGAGACCCTAATGTGAAGCATTGCTGGCTAAATCTGATCACAAAGGACCTTTGGACGAAATGGAATGGTCGACATTGGGTACTAAATGGGATTTGCATAAAAAGGTGAAAAAAGCCACTAAGAAAGGAGCCCACATGGCGGCCCAAAAAGGCTTATCCGTACTAACTAGATAATAAATCTGAAGCTAAATTTCCAGTGTTATAAGGTATTTGCGATTAGGGGACAAGCCAATATAATTTTTGGCACCCCGTAAAAGTAAATTGCAAAGGTAATGATTATCCCAGACCCTATCAAAGCCTAAAAGCAGATTAACGGGCTCATGCTACTTAAATGGTTAATAATTGTTTCATAGGTTCTCCCAGAGAGAGTAAGATGAGATGCAAAACGTTTAAGACAATGTTATCAGGGAAGGGAAACCAAGCAACTGAATTACAAAATATAGTATACACCTTAACGTGGGACTTAATATTCCGATGTGTAGATTAAGGCGAGATGGAGAAGACTCTGCGTAAACATCTAAAGAAGGAACATGGGCATGAGACCCTAAAAGAAAGGAGCGAGTAAAATTGAAATGTCAATCAACATCAAAATAAATAAAATAGCCGGGTAGCTGGTGAGAGAAATAACTGTTCCTGAGCTTTTTAGATAATGATGCAAACTTGGCGTGATGAGAGGGGATGTGATAGCGGTTTAAGGCACCTGCAAACAAGTTGTGATGGCCAGGAATGTGAGTGTGCATTTAAAAATCATGAAGCGCTGAAATGAACCACAATTAATGTTGCAAACAACATTGCATTAAATGATCCTTGGTGGAGCCTGAATTGACCACGATAACAGCTGCCTGGTTGACACAGGAAATGAGAAAGCGCTGATGTTGCAAAAAAGGAGCCCACAACTTCTCAGCAAAAACAACAGTGAAAAGTGCAAGAGCTGAAAGGGAGACTCAGAAGAAACAACAAATTCCGGAAATGGAGCTGTAAGGCACTGCATTTTGCAAGTTGCGCTGCTATGAACCTTATAAGCTTTGCTGGTAAAAAGCAAATTTGTAAAAAGCTAGTCCGGCGGCTTTATCACGGAGACCCAATTAAGGTATTAGAACTGCTATAAAGTCAAAACATGACCATGCTTATAAAATCGCTAATGTGAAATGTACTCTTAACCTGAACTCAAATTCCAATAAAATAAAATTTGATGAGCCTGGTCACTTACGCAAATTGTAATATAATTTCTGGAGTTGAATCACTTAAGGGAGATCAATCACATTTGATATATTTGTTACATTTTACAGTTGGCTCACTGGATTCCCTCAAGTTCAGTTTATACCTTATGTGTATCGACTTCTGGTTGTTGTCCTGGCTTTTTGTTTTTTGTACTGCTTTTTTACTTGCACAGTCTTCTTAGTTTTTTCCCTTCCCGAGCTGCAAGGCGGAAAAAATTACATTTTACTGCAAGCAGAAGTGCTGGACAAAAAAAAAGATAAGACGAAATTTGTTAGGCATTAAATTTGTAGCTCAAACAGTAATTTTTTCCACCGAAGTTTTGACTTACTTGAATTGTTGTCTGTTAAATCACATTGCCTGAAAGAATTTACCTCTTTTAGTAATCTTTTCCAGGAACATGTTCTCATCTTCTATATCTGATGAGGGTAAGTATTCATCCGCTGAGTTATCCTCTGATTCGGAGGGTATAGAGATGGTGTTTTTTTCTTGGAGAGGCTACAAAAGAAAAGAAAAAAAAACATAACTTTTTATGGCTAGTTTGGAGAAAATATATTCAATATTAGACTTTGTTCTACCAGCTGATAAGCTTACTTTAAGTATATATTTTTTAACATTTCAGTTTATCATTGAATTCACTTAGTTATGCTTTTTCATTTGGTCACATTCAACACCTTGCAAGGGAGGCACCATTTAGAAATGTGAAGAGGAAGGTGTGGGGGTGGGAATTTTTTTTTGCAGGTTTTTTTTGGCATAATCTTATTATGCAGGATATTTTTAGGTTCTGGATATTTTTTCCGGTATCCTTTTCAATACAGGATTTTTTTGTTTTGTAGGATTTTTCCATTTTTCTTGTTTTTGTCATCCCCCCTCCTTTTCAAACAGACACTAAACGTTTTGGTGAAGGTGAAAGAACCTTTCCCATGGGGGAAGGG